CCCACCTAAATTTTTGATTCCTAAGTCCCTCTGTCACTTCCTTACTTTCACCCATCATGGCTGTCCTTCCTGCCCAGAAGATATGACCATGTAGCTGTAGGCCTGAGTTGGGAACTCCCTACAAAATATTGTGGGTTTGGGTTTGGTTTGGGGCACCAGCCTCACATGGTGGTAGAACTCTAGAGGGTGAGGAACCCACTAAGATTTCATGAGCTCTGTTCTTTTTGATGAATGCTTCACTCCTCCCTGTCACCTGTTACCTCCCCATTGCTCCAAACAGGATTCTCTCTCCCTTTGGCCCACTCTAGCAGTAGCAGAGTCTCATAAATGAGAAACTTCAAAGATTCCTAAGGGATTGAATACTAATAACTTAGAGTGACAAATATACTAAGAGGAAGAAGCATCCCTTTCATGACTTCTTCCTCTTTCATCCAATTTGGTCTGAAAAAAAAAATAGAAAGTTATCTATAGATCCTACAGTGAGACGATTTAGACATAGTGTCAAAGATACTCTGTATTTCCAAGGATATGCCTGACAGTGAATTTTACAAATACCAACTTCTCTTTCATTGTTTTATGTTTCTGTGTGTGTATGTGTATGCATGCGTGTATGTTGATAGAAGTATGTATTTGTGTATATATGTATATATACACTTACATGTATATAAATCTTTGTTTTTTTAACTCACATGTCATGAGTGGCTCTATCATAGGTTACTACTGTCAACTCAGTTGGCTGTGGGCTGAGGAATTATAAAAGCATATTATTCAGATACAAACATAATTTGGACTTACACTTTTGGTCAAATAGCTGCATTTACTCTAGACATGAGTCTACCTGCCAAGGAATGCCAAAGATTGCCAGCAACCAGCAAAAGCTAGCAAAGAGGTATCAAACAGATTCTTCTTTATAGCCCTCATAAAAAGCCAACCCTACTGACAACCTCAATTTCAGATTTCTAGTCTCTAGGACTATGAGCTGATTAATTTTTTTTAAGCCACTTGGTTTGTGCTACTTCGTTAAAGCAGCCCTAGAAACTGATATAGCCCAACCTGGCAGAGTCTCATACACAGGCAATCCAACAGGTTTCTAGAAGTTTTGGCGACTAGTCAACTCAGCTAGGAAGAAGAAGTAGACTTCTTGTGATCTATTTGTCTTGTATCCGACTAGACCCAAAAAGGAAAGGATGTTACATACAGAAGCTGAAACTATCAGTACTTTAGAAACAGTGTCCAAGAAACTGTATATTTAGCATTTGTTAGCTTACTTAAGACCTAACTTTTTAGAAAGAATTTTAGAATCAGTGTCTGGAAAACTATTTTCCCATGAATAATTCTGAGACTGAATTTCACAAACCTGAATTCCTCCCATCTCCAATATATATTATGAGACTGAATTTCACAGACCTGAATTCCTCCCATCTCCAATATATATTATGACATCACCTTTCATTGTTGACTCCAGCACAGATTTCTGATGTCAATTCACTGGGATCAGCGCAAAGGATTGAAAGGTAAGTAGCAAGAAACAACGTAAATTCATACACTACTTTTTTTTTGGTTCAAATTGGCTATGATTGCGCTACAAATCACAATGTGTTGTCCCTAAAAATTCTCATGTAAATCTGTTCTTTGACACCTGGTACTTCATTTTTCTCTAGAAAGAGGTCTTTATGTGTTGGTAATAAAAATTGTTTAGGACTCTAAAAAAGTTTAAGGAATCAAGATTTAAATACAATTCTTTCTTACTGAACCTGGTCTTCATGTGTGACAGCAAATTTAACTTAAATGTTCTTCAAATGCATGTTCCATTTGTAGGCACACGTTGTTCTTGCCCATCTTGATTTCCTAATTCTCAAGTCCCTCCACCACCTTCATGCTCTTAGTGAGTCGCGGATATCTTTGCTTCCCCTCAAATAAGATCAAGGGACTAAACCTGAGGCAGGGGCTCCATCCAATGTGATGATGGCTTTGAGTCTGGGGTACCAGCTCTGAAGGGTGAGGGACAGATACAGGGTCTCTTAGCTCCTTTCTTTCTGCTGAGGGCTCCTCTGCTGCCTGTCCAATGCTACCACCTTCTTTCTCCAAGGAGGACTCTCTCCTCTCCTGGATTGCTCTGGACAGAGTCTCACACACAGGCATTCCGATAGTTTCCTAAGGGTTTTGGCTACTAATGACTAAGGGTCACAAAGAATCTTTGAGTACCAAGTGTCCCTCTTCTGACCGGATCTTATTTTTTCCCCTCTGGTTCAAAAACAATGTTACCCAAAGATGCTTAAAGTCTCTTATAGAAAGCTGTTATTGCCATCGATGCTCCCCATATTTTTCACCACTTAGATCAGTCAACTCACCCATTGTGGTCATAGCTGTCAGAGCATACAGTAGGATCTGTTAATGAATCCATAACTCTACCAAAGAGTAAAAAGCACATACAAAAAATAAAGTCAGATATTCTGGAAGGCAATCAGGATGTTAATCTCGACAGTATTTCAGGACACGAAAAATAAAATCAGAGGAATTTTGACAAGAACTAAAGAAACAATTTCAGGGTACAGTACTAGTACTTCTGAGAGAGTGCATGTGTGTGTGTGTGTGTGAGAGAGAGAGAGAGAGAGAGAGAGAGAGAGAGAGAAAGGACACAGAAAAAAGAAAGAAAATGTAAGAATAATGAATGTTTCGATATCAATGGCTAGTTCCTGCTCATCCTTGGTAGGAAATAAACAAGTAGGTTAAGTCAAGCACAGCCTAAATTATGTTTAAGACATTTTGTGAACTTAAAGTAGATTATATGTTTAGAATGATTTTGTTTTCTATTTGTCTGGATTCGTTTTTTTTAAGTTATATGGCTATATTTTACAAAATCAAGACTTCCTAGCACCGAAACCCCTGGCTTGGCTAATTTAATCTCTCTACAACTTTATTTCCTCATCTGCAAGTTACGACACATGCAAAATACACTCCACTCTGTCGGCTTAATAAAACCATGCTGAATATTCAGCATTTTGCAAATATTGGTTTTTAGACAACCTGCTCTCTATACCATATATTATGCCATAAAAGTCAGTATGTGGCAATATAAACTGATACATACTTTAGTTTCAAATACACAAACATTCTCATCAAAGTAATACACTCCCCAGACTCAAGAATTAATGCTCTTTGCCACAATTTTCTAACTTTTCAAATGTTTAAATAAGTTTAAGAAACTGATCACACACATTTTTTTGCTGCTGATAAAAACTAGGATTCTCTAAAAGTGTGCTGAGGTTTCACTAGCAAAGTTTCAGGTGTTAATTGAGACGGGACCGCTGAAGCCCTTTTGGTGGCCATCTCTGTGGAGTGGCTTCCCGAGCTGAACACCAGCTCTGTTCCTTGAACAGAGCATTCACCGTTAGGGCAACCAGCCCCTCCTGTAGGAAAGATTAAAGTGACCAGTATATGCATATTATTACACTGCCTAAAATGTCATATTTTTAAGGACATTAACAGGCATAGAATGAGGTTTATTTTTTAAATGTTTTCTATTTCTATTGTTTTTCTATCTAATTATTTTTCTATTTCTATTTCCATTTGCTGGGTCACAGACAGCAGCAAATTCCATAGCTTCGGGGTTATACCAGCTCATCTGCAGTAGGAGTAGAAATATCAAAGCTCTCAGTCTACCACCTTGTGCTCCAGAGACGTGGCCCAAGCAGATCTTTGGACGTGGACCAGTGCAACCCAAGGCAGAGCTGGATTTCTGGGAGTTTCTCCCTGTAAGCCCCGGACCTGCTTACCTGTAGGCCAGACTGCTTCCGGCACCACGGCCGCTCAGAAGACGCTGGGGTCAGTTCAGCTGCTAGAATAACACAAGTCTCAGGTCTTGTGTCTTCGGTACAACATTCTCTAAGAGGGAGAAATTTAATCAAGATCCTGTTAGCAGTTTTCTCTCCTGTTGCCTTTCAGGATGATGGCTTTTCCTTTTTTCATTTTTTAGTTCCCAAAATCAAGCTCATTAAATCAAATCTTTACCCAGTTCCTGGCAAGTAACAAGGTTATTGCTATTTGGCCCTATACCCACTGGTTGTCCCCCAGTACTCTGAGGATAAGGGGACTCTGTAAGGTCCCTGGGAGGGGAAAGGAATGACAGTTAGTGTTCCCCCCAGCTGGGTGTAAGCAAACTTTCCTGTCTATGGGCCCCAGAGACCACCATCTAGTTCCCCCACCAAAACTTTACATGATTTTAATTCTCCTGATGAGGATGAGAGGACAACATGAGCCAACAGAGAGGGCAGAGGATGGGGTGGGACTCCCTTGCTCAGAGACCCTCACCTCTAAGTCTTTACCTCGTATTGAGAATAAGTCAGTTCTGTAATAAGAACTCTGTGTCCATGGCAACCCCAAACAGAATCCTGGTGCTCTTGTGATTCTTGTAGAGTGAGGCATAGAACGAGCTTGGCCCAAGACTGCAGAGACTTAAAAACATGCTGTTCTGCCATACATACAGATACTCATTAAAGACAAGGGAGAAGGGCATGGGGTGGGGTAGAATGTACCAAAACCAAAGACCACAGGATAATAACCTCAGAGCAGAGACTACCTCTCCAGTTATTTTTTCTTTTGTATGTAATGGAGGGGATTCTTCTCATTTACTCTGATGACGTTTACATCAAGTGTTCAGCTTCCTTTGCGGGTTAGAGAGAATAACCAGAGGGCTCAGTTATTCTCTCTGAATAACTATGTTTGTCTAGTGTTTTCTAGACAATATTAAATTTCACTAAAATAGACAAGGTTGATAGGACTTGGGGGGATACTTCATTGACTCAAGCTTTCATTTTATAGGATTGTGAGAAAACAAAGAGCTGTACATTTAAAACACTCACATTCTAGCTAGAAGAGAGGATTCTGAATGTTCTTACATCAAAGAAATGGTAAATGTTTAAGGCAATGGATATGCTAATTACCCTGATTTGATCATTATGTAAGGTAAAAGGTACTGAAACATCACACTGTACCTCATAAATATGCACAATTTATTATGTGTCAATTAAAATTTTGAGTATAAGAAAAAAATAGGGGCCGGGCACAGTGGCTCACGCCTGTAATCTTAGCACTTTGGGAGGCCGAGGCGGGCGGATCACGAGGTCAGGAGATTGAGACCATCCTGGCTAACACGGTGAAACCCCGTCTCTACTAAAAATACAAAAAACTAGCAGGGCCTGGTGGCG